GTCCTCCCCCACCCCCGCCCTCCGAGGTTCTCATGCACACCTCCGGTGGGGAACCGCCGGGAGGGCCCAGCGTTAGGATCCTGCTGGGGCCCTGCAGGCCCTGCCCCTGCTCTCAGCCCTGATGTCCTCCCTCCACAGGCCTCAGAGCAGCCAGGCCGGGACCCCGTTTCCACCCTGTGCTCTAATCTGTGTTCGTGGCATCTTCAGAAACCAAAATTTCTCCCAAGATGTAGTCAGTTTTTCCCCTCTGGAGATGGCCTCAGCTGAGTCAGCTGAATTTCCCTGACGGCGTCCTGCTGGCAGCTCACAGAGCCCAGAGAGGCTGCGATGAGGTCGTCCCCCCGCTGCTCACAGGAAGAGCCGCCCCCAGCGCTCGCTTCCTCCACAGCAGCCCCTGTGCTGGGCTTCACTGAGCGTGCGTGGTCCTGGCTCATCTCTGTCGTGTTCCCCGCTTTACCCAAGAGGAAACCGGGCTCAGAGAAGTGAAGTAACTTGGTCAGATGCTCCATGAAACCATGTTTGTCACGCACACACACCCCCACTCCTCCTGCGCATGTGTCGGAAGTCCCCTGTGCATTCTCTTAGCCCTCATCTCACTCTGGGGACAGGCTGTGTCCAGCACCTATCAGGCACTCGGTGACATTTATGAGAAAGTGAACAACTAGGAGGTGGGGAGGGTGGAGAGCTGATCCCACTCGGCCTGCCCCGCTCCCCTGTGCCCTCCTGCTGGGACCTGGCCATGGCAAGCAGACGAGAAGCTGGGCCGGAGAAGAGCCTGCCTCCTTGGCCATCTGGGGCTCAGTGTCGCAAGTGCACGGGGTTAAGCAGAGACCTGGAGGCAGGCAGGACACCAGGGAGCTTTGCTGTTCTCCTGGTTGCCATGGACCGGTGCCCTGGAAACAGCTGGCCCCTCGGCTCATCGCCTGGTAACCCAGCCGTAACAGTGCCTGCAGAGCTGCCCTGGGCACAGCAGGCCCTTCCCCATCCCTGCCTGGCTCCTGGGGAGAATCATAGCCCTGGGGGCAGTGATTGGCATCAGCAGGAAGGAGACCCTGGGGGTAGGGAGGAAGGGGAACTGGTGGGAGGGGTGTTTTAAGCTTCCAGAACCCACACTGTTATCTGCTGTTGGTAGAACTTAGCAGTAAGATTTAGGTGCGGGCCTTTTGCATATTTTTGCATATATGGCACAGAACTACTAGGGAAGGATTTCAGTTTATTAAAAATGAAAAAGAAGAGAGAGAGAGGAAAGAGTTGGAGGCCCCACAGCTTCCGTGCCTCTGCCCTTACTCTCCACTCCGCTTCCAAGATTCAGGAGCAGCCCGGCCTGACCCAGATCTCAGGCTCCGCACCCACTGCTCTGGGAAGAAGCATCAATTCAGCCCGAGTTCACTCTCCTGCCAGCACCTAGCGTGTCCCTTGGAAGCACTGTTGCAGCATCCTCCTGGCCAGGAGTGGAGAGGGCCCAGCTTGGGGATTTCCTTCGCTCCTCACGGCTGGGAGGCTGAGCCAGGGGACATCCGGAGCACAAGCCACACTTTGGACCAAAGTTTCTTAGAGATAGTGAGTAGCGCGAAGTGGGCGGCCTCTCTGACCATCCCTGAGGCAGAGCAACTTCCATCTCCTGCCTGGCACTGCGGGTCAGCAGGTACTTACCCAGCACCTGCTGATGCCTCCACCAGGGACCTCACGGTCAGGAGACTGCGTGGGAGGCGAGGATGGGCCTCCAGGCCTAAGGGCCTGGCTGTGCCCAGCTGTGGGTCTCCAGCCGTTTCTGCATGGTGCAGGAGCAGGCAGCACGGAGGGGGCAGAGAAGGGACCTCCTACCAGGGCTGGTCTGTGGATGAGGTGCTGGGACAGGGAGTGCCTGGGCGGACCATTAAGAGAAGGAAAGGAAACAGCCACCATCCCAGAGAGACTGTCCCCGGCATGCTGGACACAGCAGGTGGCAGCCTGCCGTGGCCCCATCCGGATGACCTCTCTCTCACTGAAAGGTGCCCTTTGCTGGCGTCAGGTCACCTCCTACAAGGAAGGGCTTTCTCGGGAATGCCCTGGCTCCCTCATGTTGGCTCCCCAAGCCCTAGCGGGCATGAACCCCGCACCACCTCCTCTGCGGCCTTCCCCTCAGAGTTGCTTTGTCAGATGTTTTACACACCCAGTTGCTACTGACCCTTTCACTCCACTCCAGGATGAGGGACCAGCTGATGTGCCTTCCTCAGCCCCCAGCTCCCCCCCCCCCCGCCTGTTGCCATGGTAATGGCAGGCACTCCTGTTCCTGCAGAATATTGCTTTCTTGTAACCTCCCTCTCCCTTCCTTCTCCCCCCCCCCCCACTTCTTTCTCTCACACAAAAAGAAAGCACAAGTGTTTTATATTCATTTTGCAAAAAGCTGTGTAGCGCATACTAATTGGCGTGGCTTCCTCCCGCTTAAGCCTTTCCCGTTCTCGGAGCCAGGATTACAGGCCAGGCCGGCATGGGCCCAGCCACTGCTCGGGAAGGAGGGCCAGCCTGGTTTCAGAGGCCAAGCAGCCGTCTGTAGCCCAGGGCCTCTCGCCCGGGTCTTAAGCAGGTGCCTCCTAAGCATGGCTGCTGAGGTCACCCTGTCCTTGTGCTAGAGCTTCCTGTGGAGTCCGCAGGGGCTGGAGCACCAAATCTGGACACACAGACTCAAAGCCACGTCCGACTGGAGGGTTGTCCCTCTGTTGCCTGGTCCCAGGGCCCCTGTTGGCATCACCTCCCAAGGCCTTCCCTCCCTAAGGGCCTCCTGGCTGCTGAGGCAGAGCCTTGGCCTCGGCCTCAGAAGTGTGGATCTGAAGCATCAGGTTCAGCCCCTGGGTGCCAAGTGGGGTTTGCTGGTCAGCTGGGGGAGGGCCAGCGATCCTGGCTGTCAGAGAGCCACTGTGCAGCTCCAGAGTGGCACCCCAGCTCCCCTCCTCAAGGCATCCCTTACCCTCCATTTTGACAGCTCCTTCTCCTCCTTGCCTGCAGGAGGCTGGGGAACTGAAAGGGCAGTGTGTGTGTGTGTGTGTGTGTGTGTGTGTGTGTGACACACACGACCACACGTGGTGTGACCCCAAGCTGGGCTGTCTGGGAACCAGAGATAAATTTTTTTGTATGTAAGCACGGGGAGTGGCTGGGATTGCTGCCGGAACCCGTAGGTAATATTTCCGGCTTTAATTGTACAATTGAAGTGTAATTTGCATTCATTTGCCATTTGGTGTTAAACTTCCTAAAATAAGAAAATTCACAGTGTGAAATATGCAGCGTTGCTGGCTGCACTCCCCAGAGGGGCCGGAGGAGGTGGTGCAGAGACACGCAATGCAGATCCCCGGGGCGGGGGGGGGGGGGGGGGGGTCTGAGGTCCTCATGTGTGCACCGTCCCTATGCCAGGACTCACTCACTTGCTGCATTTGATGGCCTGGGGTTTGCTGCCTGGAGGCTGAGTGCCCCTGTGCCCCTGCTCTGCTGTCCTGGAAGGCGGGGCCTGTGGCTCTGAGGAGTGAGTGGCAGGAGGGGTGCAGTGGGGCTGGCAGGTGCCAGGAGATGTAAAGACACAGAGGTTGCCCCTCGACCCCCTTGGCCCTCCTGTGAGTCTGAACCCGGTGTAAGATCATGGGGGTCAGTGAGGGTTCCCCGCTCAGGCCATGGGCTCAGCAAGAGCAGATTACTTAACAGGTACCACTGGATTGGGAATCGGGGTGTCTCTTCGGGATTTTGACTTGGGGTGTTTTTTGAGGTAGAATCCACATACCATAAAATCACCCTTTTAAAGCATGCAGCCCAGCGTTGTCTACTGCATGAGTATACTTTGCCAACGAGGTTGTGCAACCATCACCGCTAATTCTAGAACATGTTCATCATCCCAGAAAGGAACTCATTAGCAGTCACTCCCTGTGTCTCCCTCCTCCTGTCTCTGGCAACCTCTAATCTCCTTTCTGTCTCTGTGGATTCGCCTGTTCTGGACATTTCGCATAAATGGAATCATCGTACAGGATGTGAGTTGCACATCTGGCTTCTCTCACTCAGCAAAGTTTTTTGAGGTTCGTCCGTGTTGGGGGTGTATCAGAACTTCATTCCTTAATATCGCCAGATAGCATTCCCTGGCGAGAATATCGGGGTATCAGGCAGTGGACGTTTGGGTTGTTTCCGCTTCCCGGCTGCGATGTGTGCTGCTCCATGAGCGCTCCTTTGGAAGCTTGTGTGTGGACGTGTTCTCAGCCCTGCTGGGAGTAACCATGCTTCACTCTGGGAGGCACAGTTGGCCCACTTCTTGCCTCGCTGTTTGATTTGGACAAGTCACTCCCCCACCTGGACTCCCTGGTCTCCTTTCGCCTCCCTGACGTTTATACGGTGACTTACTTGGATAGTCGAGCATCCAAGTGCACATCCTGCGAGGTGGGGCCCTCACTGCTCTGCTGTCTGTTCCCACAGCTCACCCTCTGTGTCCTTCCTGCCCCTGCTGGAGCAGAAAGCCCTCTGGGGGCCTCCCTCGATGGCAGCAGAGGCCTGGCCTTTCTGCTTCTGGACCTAATCCTACCTGGGCTCTGGGCCTGGGCACCAGGCAGGCAGCCCTTGCTCCTGCCTTCCATCTGGACTGCTTAGCGGCCACACTTCTCATAGATGTGTTCTCTGCAGGCCCAACGGTCAGACTTCCAAATGTGCAAAGGGCAGGGGTACAGGCTGCCTGCGGGCACTGGGTGGGGCAGGTCTGACTCACCTACAGCCCCAACACCTAGCACAGCACACGGGAGGGAAGTTTAACACCAAAAGCCGGCTTCCAGGCCTCAGATCGAGCTTCCTTCCTGCAGTCGCTCCCGTCCACTGCCTGTGTTCTCTTCAGTTCGGTCCTTTGTAGAATGTTTTGGGCCCCGTCATAGCCATAGTCTTGGCCACTCTCTTGGTCGCCCTCTGCAGACCCCTCCCTGCCTCCTGGAGGAGGCTCTGTCTCCAGCCACTGCTGCCTGTGGAGGTCCTTGTCCCTCATCCTCTGCTTTTCTCCCCAGGTTATCCTGAAGGATCTGGAGGTGCTGGCAGAAATCGCCTCCTCCCCTGCAGGCCAGACAGAGGATCCAGGCCCCCTCGATGGCCCTGACCTCCGGGCCAGCCACTCCGAGCCTCAGGTGCCCACCCCTGGCAGGGCCGGCCTGCTGAGCACTCCCAGTAAGTATTCCCCTGGTGCATCCAGCCTTGGGGACCCTGGGCACTCGGTATCGTCCTGGGCTGGGCCGTCCTCGGGCTGTCTCTCTCGAGCCTGGGAGTTGTGCCAGGGTGTGAGGGTCAGGGACGGCCATTGTCCAGGAGGCAGGTGGGCCTTGCCATGCTGCTGCCTCCTGGCTCACACTGCAGCCCCCGTAAGAGGGGGCTGCACCTTAGTCCCTGCACCTTTCGTCCTGTGAGCCACTGGCTTAATGTGAAACCATCTGAGTCAGCCAATGGCTTCTCCCTGGGGAGGCATCTCACTGGTCAGGAATCAAGGAGCTCTGGAATCGGAGCTCACAGGTGGGAGACTAGGCAGCCATTTCCTTCCTCGCCGAGAGGCTAAAAATAGCTCTCAACATGGCAGGCAGCCCAGGCAAGAGACAGTGTAATTCAAACAGCATGTTTCCGGGAGTGCTTGGCCATGAAGGTGGCATGGCGTTCCTGGTGCTCCCCCTTGGAGCTCCTTCCAGACATCAGGTGGCCCTTCTCCCAGGCCAGGGCTCCTCCCAGCACCCCCCTCCCAGGCAGACACCAGTTCCCTCCAGGGGTGCGAGTCCGTGGGAAAGCGCCCAGCGGGCCGTGGGTGTGTGCCTGGGGTCTCTGCCCCCTGAGTGGCTCTTGACACCAGGCACCAGGTCCTAGACAGCCCTGCTCCGGTGCAGAAGCCAAGTGTCAGATACATTTGGGGCCCATCGGCAGCTCCCCTCCTGCAGCCCCACCACCTGGAGCACCTGCAGGCCTGCCTGCGCCGGGCTGTGAGGTCGTCACGGAGACGGCGCATGAAAGGGTCTCCCGGTGACACTTAGCATCAAGCCCCACCCTGTCCTTGCAGCAGGGTGTCCCATAGAACCCCAGGCTCTCGGCTGCCCCCGCTGCACACACTCTGCCTGCAGCTGGTCCCAAGTCCCAGCTGTTCCTGTAAAGTAAGGAAGGAGTGAGGGGCTAGCGGTAGGCCAGCTTCCTCCTCATCTCCCCAGGATGCAGTGGTTTCCTTGCCAACGAGCCGGTGTCCTCTGGGCAGTCAGAGGCCATAGTGAGGGAGGCACCCACATCCTGACTCAGGACCCCTGCTGTGGCTCCCAGCCTCTGTCCCCACAGCCTAGGACTCCGCTCTTCATCCTTGGTCTTCATGTCAGCACTTGGTCAGCCTGAAGTCCCAGGACCGCTGGCAGGACAGGTTGAGCGGGGGTAGAGCCTCATGAGAGGGGAGGACCACAGGCTCCTCCTTGGAGAGGGCGGGCCTGGAGGGTGGGGACAGGCCGGCAGTGGCACCTGACTACCCAGGAGGAAGCACCGCGGGGCCCGGCCAGCCTCATCCCTCGTGGGAGCATCGCTCTCCCTGGTGGGAGAAGCGAAAAGCTGAGGCAGCACAGCCCCGGGCAGGGAGGACACCTTGACCTCCCACGACTGTGCTCCCTCCACAGGGTGGCTTTTATCTCCCTCCCTGGCACAGAGAAGTGCCACCGGAGCCCTGCAGGCCAGTGTGCGCCCAGGGTCTGCTGGCCCGGCTCATCGTCGCTGAAGTGCTTACTTGCTGGTGCAGGGATGGGCCAGAAAAACAGCTGTGAGGGGCCCAGGTCACTCTGCAGCCCTGGGGCCTGACTCCGGGAACCCCAGGAGAGGCCCTGTGGGAGCAAGGGCTGGGGGGTACTTGGATGGCAAAGCACTCACCCCAGCTCCTGTCCCCATTAACATGGGTGGGCCACTGATGAGTCAGGCAGTAGTCTCATCGAGGCTGTAGGACCGCACACATCAGCCAGGGGCTCACCCGGATGCATAGACAAGCCACGTGAGCCGGACGGGAGGGAGCTCCATCCCGGGAAGAACACCAAGGAAGTGCTGCAGCCAACAGTGCTTCCTGCTGCCTGGAGTCACAGCACCGAGGGCCACACGCTCTCAGCCTGAGACTCGTGCCCTTCAAGGAGTGGGGACCACCTCTGCACGTGCGTCTGCAGCTGGCACGAGAGTTTTCAAATGGGTCCATGATTTTATTTTTATTTTTTTTAATATATTTTATTGATTTTACACAGAGAGGAACTGAGAGGGATAGAGAGTTAGAAACGTCGATGAGAGAGAAACATCGACCAGCTGCCTCTTGCACACCCCCCACTGGGGATGTGCCTGCAACCAAGGTACGTGCCCTTGACCGGAATCGAACCCGGGACCTTTCAGTCCACAGGCCGACGCTCTAGCCACTGAGCCAAACCGGTTTTGGCGGGTCCGTGATTTTAAAAGGTCAAGTTCACAGCGGTGATAGAAGAGCAGGGGAAGCCAGAGCTGGGCGCAGCCGCCTCAGGGAGGGCACGCGCAGGCCTCGTTGTTGAGGGCAGCTGTTAGGTCTGAAAGCGCTCCGCAGGCTGCTCTTTGACGAGTTGCTTTTAAGGCACGCAGCAGGGGGGGCCATTCTGTTTCCACCTGGCTGTGCACATGGGCAGTGGCCACAAGGCCAGCCCCTCCTGTTTGGGTTCTGCTTTCCTCTGGCTCTCCAGGGCACAGCTCTGAGAACTCGCAGGCTGCATTGCCACGTCGCTTTAGGGTAGATCCTCCCACCCCATAAAGGAACTTTCTGGAAAGCCAAGGAGGCAGGGAACCTAGCAAAGATGAAATCAGTGATGTTTCTAGGGAATCGAATGCTCTGCCTGTGTGTTGTGTCCAGAAACTCAGATGGTGCGGATTGAGTGGGGGGGAGGGGGGCCCATCGCACGCCTGGATGGGGCTGTGTTGGCCTGAGTGTGCAGCAGCGGTCCCCGGGGCCGCAAGGCAGAGCTGCCCACACGGGATTTTCCTCTCGCCGTCCCAGTGTAAACATCTCCCTCCCCGGTGGAGCTGTGTGGGCTGAGGCCGTGGCGTCGCTTCTCGTACGCCCCCTTCATTCCTGACCTTTGCAGAGGCCCCGGCGGGGAAGAGCCCGCCTCTGGGGCCGTCGGGAGGGAGCCAGTGGAGGGACACGGTCTCCCTGTCTCCCTGTGACTGATTTGGTGAAATGAAACAAACAACCCTGGTCTCCTGTGACTTGGCAACTCCTGGGCCTTCTCTGCTTATCTCTACTCGGGGGGGACGATGCTGAGCCCCCCTCAGACCGACCCCCGGCCTGACCCTGAGCCTGCACAGAAGGCGCGGCAGGAGCAGGCGGCTCTGGGGCCGCTGTCCTGTTAGAGACAGGCCTGGCCGGCCTGGGGCTCGGACATCCCAGCTGCGGAGGGGAGCCGCCTGCCAAGCACAGCAGCAGTGTGGCCATCGGGGCTGGAGGTCACCTCAGGACTGACGTTTACCCCTAAAGCCCAGTTTCCCCTGTCCTCCCCGCTGGCCACGGGCCCACCCCCGGTGGGAATAAAACTGCTTACATCAGGGCTCTCCGGTCCAAGGTGGAGTATGACCCCAGCTCTAAGAACATGGACAAAAATGGAATGTTCCGCTTCTGTTCTGTTCCTTATAAGCCCAGGCTGGTGTGGCCAAAAAGCAGAAAGAAGTTCTAGAAAAAACCTAGAAAGCAGTCCCTGGGCGCTTTTCCCAGTAACAACTGTGACTGTGAAGAGTGGAGCTCTCGTGAGGACCAGGCCGCTCAGCACCTCGCCGTGATCTGGCTCAGCCTCACCGAGAGACGCCGCTGCTGTCACTGCGACGGGCAGGTGCCGCCCCGGAGCCCGCTCTCTTCCCCCCACGCCCAGCGCTGGACTCTTCCACCGCCCGAGGGAGGCGCAGAGCAATGGCAGCCAGGCCGGCAGTCTCCTATGGGTACGGGGTCGTGACCCCAATCTGACAGTTCTTAGCGGTGGCCCTCTTAGCAGCGACTTCAGAGACACCACTCTGGCCTCAGGTGACCTCTTGCGCCTCTTCTTCCATCTCCTCCTGCAGCGACACCAGACAGGGTCCCAGCCCCCAAGAGCCTTCTTCCCACACGCCGTGTTCAGGCGCCGGGGCCTGAAGATCTGGGTTCACAGTCCATCTGTGCCTCCCTGCCCTGCAGCCGGGGCAAGTGTCCTGCCTCGGTGCCCCCCCCCTCCTCCGTTAATTGGGCGATGGGGCTTTAGGAGCTCGTGTGTGGAGGGCGCTAAGACCATGTGAGTGCTGCCTCTGCTTCAGTCCTCGTTACGGCGCTCAGGTGCTCTCCTCTGTGGGGCTTTCAGGAGAACCGGGGCCAGGTTCTGCCCTCCCACCCATCACTGAGTGCGTGGTGCTGGGGGGGTCACCTCTGTTTCCCTCCCGGCCATGGCCTCCTAGACCTGGTTTCTCAAGGTGCCGGCTCTGCAGCCTCAGCGTCGCCCGGAAGGTCATCAGAAATGGAGGCCCTAAGGCCCACCCTAGACTCAGAGTCGCATTTTGTCAGGATCACGGGGGTCTTGTGTGCTCCCCACAGTTAGAGAAGCGCCAGCTCAGCCCGCAGGTCTGTGGTGCTCACCTCTGAACCCCGTCAGTGCCGCCTTTCAGAGCCATTATAATGGGGGCACCAGAGCTGGGTCTGAGTCTCACCTAGCACCACTGCCCAGGCCTTTACTGGCCACCAGATGGAGAGCCCGGGCCTCTCCTACCCAGGCCCATTGCTGCTGACAGTCTGAGGGCCCTTCCCCCTTCCCGTCTCCAGCACTGCCCGTGGCCCCAGCTGCTTGCTCCACGGCCCTGCAGCTCTCCCTGGAGCAGCCCTCTCCACTGCCATATCTGCTTCTGGTTCCTCTCGGACCCGCTGGGGCCCATTAGCTTATCTCTCGCTCTGAACCAGGCAGCTGGAAACCTCCTGGATTTGGGCGGCTGCCCAGGGCAGAAGGCTCCCTGACCTCAGTCGGGCTCGCCCCCAGATTGCGCAGGCTCCACAGCCCCCGAGACCCCGTTTCACAAGAGCCCTTGGCCTCCCTCTCTCCCAAGGAAGCGAGCCCCTCCCCAGCCTGACCCCCTTGATTCCAAACCAGGCTCCCAACCCCACAGCCCCCTCCTCTGAGCGCTTCCTGTGCCAGGAACCGTTAAGC